TTTATATAATGAGGTGATAAAATGTTGTTACTATATTCTACGAGAACATCTCAGAATGGGAGTTTTTTCTTTTTTTTTTGACAAAGTTCGTAGATAAAGTAAAGGACAGTGTTTTTTCAAATGTGGTCTTAAGAATATCTCTTCATTTAGTGTTATTTGCTAAAATAAAAATATCGCGGACATATATTTTAGGTTTACAGACCTGTTTAAATATCATATTTTCTACACGTGATATGTTATAATTGGAAAAGCATAGACCGAGTGGATTTGCCATACTAACACCATTAGTTTGGATGTGGATGTCGCCATTGTGGTGTGTTTGGGAAATAAAGGAACGAAGAAAGGAAAAGAAAAAAGACAGAAGGAAAACATCCCTATAAAATTAAAAACATAAACACAACGCACATCCTCAATTAAATTAAAAAAATAAAATCCTCCATATAAAAAAAAAATAATCATAGTACCTTGTCTGTCGTTTTTAATGACATATATATATATATATATATATATATATATATATATATATATATATATATATATATATATATAAAAAAAAAAGAATCAATCTGGAAAAATCTTTCAGAATAAAAGTGGCAAATTCACAAAAATATTGAATGATAAGAAACATTAAAATCTGGAATGAAATCACCCCTGACCAAACTGAACAGAAACAAAAGCAGCAGAACGAGATGAGATTATATCTTAAATGCTGGTCGCTTTAAATGATTTCGGCTTTGATAAAATTTCAGATATAATAAAGGAAATATACGACTGTGTTGATATACCGGAAGATCGAAGTAGATCCATTTTTATATTACTGGCAAATCCATTGGATAATAAGCCTAAAACAAAAAATGTCTTCCGAATTTTGATGAATAGAGCGCGTAACAGAATTAAAGCAGAAATATTACAAGAACATTACGGTTTCGTTAAAGATACTGGAACAATGAATGCGATATTTATGCTCAGAATGGTATCTGAAAGAGCAATATAAATACAAAAGGATGTCAACAGGAATTTATAGATTATGCAAAGGCTTTTGTTCAAGTACGTCATACAGATATTGTCTTAACTGCTAGTTAAGCTTTATACATTTTGGATGGATTTTAGAATAATCCAGAATTAATACTGTGAGCAAGACATCTGCATACGGATTGAAAATGAATTCAGTAAAAACGCAAAAATAGAAAGTTGTGTAAGACAAGGTTGCGTCTTCTTATCGGACATATTCAAACTTTACTGGGAGGTGATCCGGTCGCTAATTAAACGTTGTACCAGGATACATGATTGGTGGTTACAATCTTAGCAATGTATAATATGCAGGCGTCACTGTATTGATACCAGACACAGAAAAGAAACAAGAATTTCTACAAAAGGAAGTGTAGAAAAACGGGAAGAAAGGATTAAAACATCAATTGTAAGAAGACAGAATGAATGGTTCTCAAAAAAGGAACAGCCTAACATGCCAATTACAAAATGGAGAGTTCAGAATAAAACAATTTAAAAAAAAAATTAAATATGTAGGAACTGTATTAGCAGATGTCGGAGAATTCAGAAGTTTCATTGTAACATCGAAAGATACCATCAAAAAAATAAGAAAATTATTAAGATACAAGAGAACTTCGTTAGAAACAAAAAAAAGTTTACTGGACTGTTATGTAATATCAGTCCTTCTATATGCTAATGAATGATGGACAATCTCATCACAGATGAAGAAGAGACTTGAAGCAAGAGAAATGTGATTCTACAGAAGGATGCTGCGAATATCATGGATTGAACATGTGAGCAACGAAAAGAAAACAAAAAGGATGCTTATACATTATTTTGTACAAATTCTAGGGGATATAATGTGTAAAATCTGACAACCCACAGCACAAGTTAAGGGGTCACAGAGGAAGACAATGCATAAAATACCTAACAAGCGTACGTAAATGACTTGCAGAACAAAGTTTAGGAGAAAGAGCAAGAAGAAAATATTTACTAAGATCTAGAAAAGACAGGGACTTTTGGAGAGCCATGATCGCTCACATCGTGAATGAAAATGGAGCACAGAAGAAGAATATTAACTTGTTTCTTTACTTGAAGTTTTAAGAAATATATTGATGAAGAGTAGTAGAATTAGTAGTAGTAACAATACTGATTGATTGATTTGTTTTCGACATCTTACAGCTTACTTAAAGACAAACTATTTGTCAGAATTTGGGTAGGATAATAATGATTTAGTGATTTACTAATTAACCCATAGCTGGGGGATAAAATGTAGATTCATACCTTTCCCAAGTGAATATAACAAACCCAACATGAATTAGAACTTGGTTCTCCAATTAAGAATCCCAATACATAATCTATTACACCACCCACACATCCAAGCTAACAGCACCTGGTATTCACAAGCTTTCACCCATCTAAGTAAAGACCAAGGCCGACGTTACTTCGGCAATCGTAGGGGAACCGATGTTTCAACGTGATATGTTTGTAAGCCCTAATAATAATAATAATAATAATAATAATAATAATGCTAGTAATAATGTTAATAATAATAATGATAATGCTAATAATAATAATAAGTCTAATAATGGCAATAATAATATATTAACATTAATAATGCCAATAATAATGCTACTGCTAATAATAACATTCAGCACTAGCAGTATTTGTTGTTGCTTTGACATAACTGTAACTGGTGTATTTATATGCATAAATAAAGCATCCATCTGCTTGTAAAATATTCGATCTTCATTTGGTACAAATATCGAAACTTTTCTTCTGTAAAATATCCCTGGTTAATCTATTGCCAATATATTCAATTTGCCTTCCTTACAATTCGATAAAATCAATCTATGGCATCCAGATATCCGATTCGATAACATTTTGATAACCTAGTCGATATTATTGTAACATCCAGTTTGATATTATCATACAATATCTTCGACATTTCCACGAAATCCTATTTGATATAATCATAAGCAATTCATAATTTTGACATTGCCATTTCTAATGGCTTCATCTTCATGTTTTCTGTTCCTGTGTGGACAGGATAATTTCAAATGTGAAATTCTTGGAAGCAAAAAGCAAGAGGTTTATATTAAACTTCTCGAATCCCTTGACGATTTTCCAAATCTTAATATTTGTTTTTTAACCAAAATTCTTAATGACTTTATGCCTAAAACTTCCAAGGGAACCACTTCAAATTTCCAGGTGAACACCGGATAAAACAAATTGATGCAGTTGAAATTTTAATTAAAATCGAGAATCATTTGCAGATTTAAAAAAAAATCTCATTGAATCGCTTGGCCAATAACATTTTAACATTCACATTTTAATACACAATCATTTTTTCTTTTCTGTTGTTTTGCTTGAATTTTCATTAATTTTCTTATGATTACTGTCATGTCTTTTTTATCATTTCAGGTTTATCGGCAAAAGACAACGTAATTAGCTTTAGCAACGCTTCAAGTAGCCAGTCATATTCAGTGACCAGGGAAAAATATCTTGAAAATCCCTCTTCAAAGACACTAAAATATTCTATTAATCACTGAATGCGGTTTCAGAACAACGCCATTCTATAGTGTTCAAGAATGAATACAACATATATTTTTCCATCTCAAAGAATGTTATTTTTCAAAGACTTTTCCATTTTCGCAACGATTGAACATCAAAAACCTGAAAATCAAAAAACCGTAATGAAATTGCCGAAAAACATTGAGGAATTCGAACAACGACGGACAAAGAACTAAAATAGTAATAATCATCATCATAATAACAATAATAAAAATACTAATACTAATACTACTACTACTAATAATAATAATAAACTGCCTAAGTGATATACAAAGCAGAACTTTAAAAAAATGTCGGTCATACGAAACATGCATGAAAGAAGTATTTACAATGAAGTGAAAGTTACGCAGCCATCAACGCTGCCAGAAAATTTTGAAATGGTAACGGATATTCCAATAGATGAGGCGCTATCCTTCTTGAAGTATTATTCAGAATGGTATACTGGAATCCATGGTTATGTAGCAGCCATTATTTGCATTCTGGGTGTTCTTGCGAATATCCTGAATATTATCGTTCTCACAAGAAAGAATATGATTTCGCCGGCAAACATTATTCTCACAGGTTTAGCCATCTCTGACGGTTTGACTATGGCAATATATTTTCCATTTGCCCTTCATCAATATGTAATATACGGAACAGAAACATCAGAAGCGCGAAACACCCTTAGCGCTGCACGATTTCTTTTCGCTTATGCCATTTGCAGTGTTGTCGTGCATTCAATTTCAATTTGGTTAACAGTCACGTTGGCCCTATTTCGCTATATCTTCATCAAATACCCCCGGCAGAGTACCTACCTGTGCACGATCCAGAGGGCCCAACTCTCCGTTGTTGTGGTTACAATAGTCACTACTGTTGTATGCATGCCAAACAGCGCAACACTTAAGATTCAACAGCAAACTGGCAACACCTCCACTATTTGGTATATCAAATATAAGGAAAACAGCGAAGCTGAGAAAATCTCTCGAACCTTGAATTTTTGGGTTCAGGCCATTCTTCTGAAGTTAGTACCTTGCGTCTTCCTAACTGTTCTGAGCATTCTTCTGGTGAAAGCCATGAAAGACGCCGAAAAGCGACGCAAACGATTGCAGAGCCGGAGCGGGAGAACGGAAGACGATGGCGGGCGAGAAAGGAAAACGAATCGAACAACCAAGATGCTTTTAGCTGTGGTTGTTCTGTTTCTCGTCACAGAAATCCCCCAAGGTGTTTTGAATATTCTCAGTGGTTCTATGCCTTCCTTCTTTACGCAGTACTATTATATTTTCGCTGATACTTTGGACATTCTGACGTTACTCAACAATGGCATCAATTTCATTCTTTATTGCACCATGAGCAAACAATTTCGAGACACTTTTATCAGAATATTCTTCAAGACATTCATCGTGCAAGATCGTCAATTGCAACTCGTGTCTCCACAGGCAACCCGATACACTGAGGTCTGACAAAAGACATAAACAGTTAGTTTCTGTAATTCGTGCCACTGATAAAATAATAATTTCATTTATCACTCGTCTCAAATCATCGGCACTTTTCCCATTATATCTTAACTTAAAAATAACCAGGGAAAAATATTTGCCAAATTCGAAATACGACAATGGAATAACTTAACGATGTATTAGTTTCTATTACCGAATTTTCAAACTATTTGACCTTTGCTCCCCGTGTTGTATTCCTCAAATATTTCAAATTAGTAACTGCATTTCGCTGATAAAAATAAAACTCAAAGAAATCAAATTTAATTGTTCAATCAGTCAGTGTCCATAATTTGGCTCTTTGTGATGTTTCTCTTCTTTCAAGTGATGTGATTGACTATTGAAATATTGCATATTCAGTGTGATTAATGTATTGAATGTTCTTATTAATAGTTCCACTAAAATACGGCTGGTTTATGGAACTTAGTCCTTCGACTAATCACATAATCAAAGTTAATCTCGCAATTTACTCTCAGCCAAAGAGATACCTTTAAAATGTGATGTAATAATCGTAATATAACAGTAAACATTATACTATATATATATGTATATATGTTATAAATTCATATATACACTCAAATATATAACGTTAATAGTTTTAATATGATACAAATATTGCCAATTGTTTTTGACTCGCACTTGCCAAAATGACTGATTTGTTACTGGAACTCAAATTGAAGACTTCACTTTAAAACAAAGAAAGTATGAAAGCAATGATATTGAATTTCTATTAGAAACGACTTGGTCCATGAAACCACAAGAAAATACTTAATCTGGACATATCAACGTTCAGCGACAACTTAATTTCAGCATACGATGAAAAATGTTATGATCAGCAAAAAAGACGAGGCGTAGAAAAAAAAATGCCAACTGATTCCTGCTTCAAAGAAAAAAAACCGAAAGAGTATATTTTCTGGAATTAAAGAATACTTATCTTTGATTCTTGCTACTTCATGGCGAACTGAGCAAAAGAAAGATGAACAAAAAGACACTACAGCATCTATAAAACATAAATCAATTATTTCTTCCGTGAAAATGTGATGAACTGATCCTTTTGGGGGTCAAATTTAGTAATAGATCAATACTTAATCGTTTTCTCTTTTGGTTTTTCGATTATGGGGAGAAGAAGAAGAATATGGCAGAGACACGGTTTTATTTATTGCTCCATAGTTGATTATGTAAGTGTTTCTCAAGGAAATAAAGATAACAATCATTATTGTGAAGTTATTCCCGACCTCTTTCTGTTTCTTTATGTCTCTTTGTCAACGTTAAATGCCGATTTCACCTTTTGAACTTTAACAAACTCTTTTTTTTTCAGCATCTTAATATACGGACATTTAAAAAAAAAGAAAAGAAAAAGAGATATTTCATACATTTAATGATTGGCCCTCTATCCCACCAGAATTCTTTGCTTCCAAGAGGAAGGTGCATTTAGCGAAATTCCAGTCCCCTGAAAATCCTGAGGTCGATACAAACTGTCAGACCCGAAAGGCCCCGGGAACGTATGTTCAAACGCACCGTTTAGCGAAAGTTTCCTCAGCTGTTAGCCTTGAAAGAAGACTTTAAAACCTTGGCTACGTTCTCCGCTAAATTCAAAATACTTCCAGTATAGTTAACATTCACTTCCGTCTCCTCTATATTAACCTTATTAAAAATAATTTCCAGTTCCTGCAAAATTCACAAAACTCTTCACATTTTCTTTCTCCTGCTCTGTCTACACCAAAAAAACGAACTGCCAATACTTTCTAAAATATAGAGGAGTTTGACAATAAACTAGAACAGAAATTAAGAAAAAAAAACAAAAGGCAAAAAAACACTATGTCTTGGGTGAAAACGTTTGCCGTATTTCCTATGAATAATGAAATAGACACAAACTTAATCAAGGATTTAAAAAAGTAGCCGAAATCTACATGCAAATTGCAGACAATTTTCCTAAGGTCCAAGAATTGAATACGATAATCAGAAGCATTACATGATCGTGGGAGATTTGGAGAATTGTGAAAGAGTCAGAAATTACATAACTAAAACAGTATTGTTCGGGGCGGGGGTCATCATTTTTGTTCAGTCCTGCTAAAATTGCGTTAAAATTGATATTTAACTGGGACATAGACGTACTCTCCCTGGAGATTACCATGAAAACACAGATATGGTAATGATCGATGGAACAAGCAGCCGTTATCTTTTCCCCGACTATATTTCTTTTAGAGATTTATCATTAATTTCGATAATGCTTTTCTGGTTAGTAGATGAGAGTGCCTGAAGACATAGAGAGAGAGAGAGAGAGAGAGAATCGTTCGCGATCTTCCTTGTCTCCAAGTGAACGTATGTAGCCTTCAGGCGAGACATCTTATTGCAAGCTTTTCCTATGAAATTTAATGTCCTTCTTTTCTTTATTTTTATCTCGTCCTTTTCTCTATTTTGATGGCTGCTATCGAATAGTTTCTTGGCTGCTTCTTTGAAGGCAGTGTGTGTTCACGGATTCATTGGGCAATGTTTTTCATTGATGTTAACGTAATGGAAAAGAATATCTTATTCAGCCAATGACAATAGAGCCCGGGAGATGGATAGAACTGAGCTTGACGGTATTTTAATGGGTGATTTGAACGTCGACCTTAATACTGCTAAAAATCGTAAAAGAAAAGACAATGTACTAATAACCCGCTCGCTATGCCATTTAATGACAAGTTTGATCTTGTTTAGAAATGAGGAAACCGAGGAAGTATTATGGACCTGGATTAGTAGATGAAGTAGCTCTAGTTAGGTGAGAGTTGCTCTTTTTATGTATCAAGAAGTAATAGGTAATGTTAGTAAAGAGTAGCTTAAAAAATATGTCTTCGAAAAGTTAAGGTTAAACTGAGAGAAAATACTTCAAAGCGCATCAGATTGACATATCTTTAATGTCACATAGCTTGACGGACCAAAAATGAATACAAACGAAGACCTCTTTTAGGCTTAGAGTTACTTTCAAGATCTTTTAACCAAGAAGCTCGGTCTCGATTCGATATCTATTTGGCCTAGTACCTTGCCGTAGGCGATTGGTTGTGAGGAGCCTATGAGAAAAAACTGGTATCTGGGACGTTCTGAAATTCCTTGACAGGAAAAGAATTCCTGGAGTAGATGTTCTTCACAACGTAGTGTACTTGAGGCAATCGCCCCTATTTCTTCCTATACTAGCACTATTTTTTAACAAATGGTTGGAAAATTGCAATATATCCCACCGCTTCACCAGAAGTTGCTTATGTTGCTACGTAAAGAGAAACACAGTAGAGATGAGATTAGTGTTAAACACTGACTTAAATAATTTGGCCAAGTCTTAGCAATCCGTATGCAGGATGTCCTCCCTAATGTGATTTGGCGCGAAGACATGTAAGTCATCCTTCATTTGTTAAACTTCATTGTACAGTGAAAGCGCGTTGATAAATTTAAGTTTCAACCCAAGTCATTCGACAACATTCACGTCAGTTTCTATGGGTTCTTCTCCTGTCTTCCGGTTTCGAGCCCAACCTTAGTTCCTTGTCTGCATCACTCTGTACAATAGTGGCGGTGGATCGTGATAGGTTTAAATATATTTATTTATATTTAGAGAGAAATAATTAGGAGGATTTGAAATAATCATAATTAAGTAATTCATCGAGTCTAGAAGAAACCTCAACAGAATGCAGAACGGCTGTTTCGTCTTATATTTGGGACTCATCAGCAGTGTGCCTCCACTACTGTGAATTGAAACACGAACAGTTACGATAGGAGGCAAACGACATACCAACTATATCAACGGTTCTCGGTGACAAAGAGGTAACGAATTAGACTCGATATAGCGTTATATATATCCTCTTAATTATTATATCGATATATATCCTCTTAATTATTTCTCTCTGTATATCCTTGTTTGAACCGACTTCTAATGCTGTGGACTAAGCGGCTTGGAGATAGTAGTCATGGCTCGAGGAGGCACAGTTCTAAGGGTAAAAAAGAAACTCTGAGAAGTCCCACCCCAGAATTTGTAATCACCGGCGATATATTGAATCTAATTCGTTATCTCTTCGTCATCGAGAACCATTGGTACAGTTGGTATAGCATTTGCCTCCTATCGTAACTGTTCGGGTTTCAATTCTCGGTAGTGGATGCACACTGCTGATGAGTTCCAAATATAGGACGAAACGGCCGTCCATTGCTTTCTGAATTCTGTTGAGGTTTCTTCTAGACTCGATGAATTACTTAATGTTGATTATTTATATTTGAACTATTGTCCTCATATTTGTTGATGCTATCACAACGTGTCGACCGTTGTGACCTCTGGCCTTCACCAGGAAAACTAGAGCAAAGATGAGGACAATAATCCGAACATAAGCAGTGAAATATTGATAACTCCTCAATCCAGAAATTCAAACAGGAACATTTGCAACCGAAATAAAATAATTTCTTACCTTTCTACGTGGGTGTCCATAATATCACGGGTAGAATGAATGCGTTATGGGATATCAAAATAGTTCATGTAAATTTGTTCGTTGTATGCTAAATTAGCTCACTACGAATAAATCTCCATGGTATTATCCATGAGTCTGGTCTTAGCCTTATCAGCAGAAGAAAAAGGTTTTATTAAGAAAATGCAGTAAGTGTTCACTGGTCTCCCAACTGTCAACCAGTTCTAATACACACAGACACACACACACACACACATGCACACGCAGGTGCGCACAGCCACACACACACACACACATGCACACGCAGGTGCGCACAGCCACACACACATATGCAGGATGCGATGGATAAATTGTCGCCTAAATCCCTTAAAAATGAAAATAACACTGACATTTCATTTTAACATATATATTTTCACCAAAATTACACAAAAATATGTTAAAATGTTAACGTGTAAATTTATTCAATAAAATTGCCACAGCCTCCAGGCGACTTCAGAATCTACTGCAACTATTTTGGAATGTCTCCCTGATTAAGTTGGTCAACGCTTC